GGTTGCCCAACTGATGGCTGGTGGGAGCAGGGGACGGGGCTTATATGCCCGCCCCCTGGGCTCCTGACTGGTGGAGCGGTGCTCCGGTGCACTCCGGCAGGAACCGAGGCCTGCCCAGAATGAAACTTTGTTAGTCTTAAAGGTGCCACTGGACTCAAACTTTGTTCCTGTGAGGTAGGTTAGGCTGAGATAATGTGACTGGTCCAAGATCACCCAGCGAGCTTCTATGGCATGAGTAGGGATTCAAATCCAGGTCTCCCAGATACTAATCCAGCACTCTGACCGCTGCACCACACTCAACCTTTTTTTCTGAGCTGGGCTTTAGGCTCATCTTCCCTCCTATTTCATGAATAGTGACAAGGTTCTTCGTTTAGAGAGACCTGGGTTCCAATCCACATTCATCAAGCTTATTGGATGACCTTGGACCATTCACTGTCTCCTACCCCAACATATCTCACAGGGCTGTTGTAAAGACAAGATACTGACAACTCCCATGTACACCATCCTGAGCTCTTGAAAGAAGACTGGCATATGAATGTAGTACAATAAATACAAGTTCTCTGTATGCAGTTCAGCAGCTCAGTTCTCTATGTGATCCCCAAGATCCAGGCAACAAGATATGGTGAGGGGGTAGGTCCTGCTAAACCACTGTTGTTGTGCATACTAGAAAGGAGAGGAACATTCCATAGACATTGGGTGGCCAATTGGACTAGGTGGACCATTGATGGGATCCAGTGGGGCACTTATGTTCTGATCATCTCCCACTGGCTGTTGAAGATGCACTAGGTCGTGTTCATATAGATATTCAGCTTCTACCTACAAATACCAAGGGTTGGTGCGCACCAGTTTTTCTGCTCAGTCTCATCTGGTTTCTCTCCGCATAGAAGCCCACATCCCACGTAGCTTTTGTCCATGTGAAACCCATGACCCTGGCATAGCCTTTGAGGGGATGAGAATGGACCTCTCCACTCTCTTGCAGAAAACCTGGCCGGATCAAAACTGAAAATCCATAGGGTTCAGGATTTCGCATCCAATACCAAATTTGATCCTTGCACAGTGTATCTATATTTATTCACTAAAACATTTATATTCCACTGAGTAACCAGACTGCAACCCAGAAACCCGTGCTGTCCTTTCAAGGACACTGATTCAGGAAGAGGTGCAGCTGCTGCAGCTTTGCTGGACTTCTGCTGCCTCAGGCTTCTCAGACCTCCTATGCAGCACTGCTATAGTTCTGCTTGCCACAGCAGGGCAGGGTGAGATGGGAGACAGGCAGACTGGAGCAAGCAGCCGGTGGGAGAACCTACCACGTCTCCTGGTTAATTGGTAGCTTTAAAGCAACTCTCCAGGCTGCAATTTGGCCATCCTGGCGGCTCTTAATGTTCTTTCTCTCTGAGCACAAATGGAGCCACCCAGTTTACCCTCAGGTAGGTTACATGGGTGCCATGCAACGCTCAGTTCATACTCAACTGGGGCGGGGCGAGTAATTTTCATTTTGTGGGCATTTTGTTTGAAGGGATGGGGAACAGTGCTGGAAGGCAGTCCTGGTTCACTGGGCTGCCCAGGAGTTGAATGACATCTGCCCTTCCTGCAGGTCACTTACTGGGTCAGAGTACAATCGATTGGGGATGGTGGGTGTCTGCTGGTCGACACAAATCACTTTCTTCATTTCTTCAAAGCTGGGGTCAATTGGCACCAAGTCAAAGAAAGGAGGTCTGTAATCTTCGACAATCCCTGTAGGATGAAAAAATAGGTGTGAGAGGGGAGAAGCCCAAAGTGAAAGTGTATACCTGTTGCAGGAAATGCTGTCCAAATTGTTGTGCACCTGACTGGTCTACTCATCTGCAGAAATTTCTCTCTGTTCCGTCTCACTCCAGCCTGAACCCAGGGGTGGGAATATGAAGGTGATGGAATTTATTTATTTACTTCTTTTACTTTTCTCCCCAATGGAGACCCAAAGTGGCCTGCATTGTTCTCTCTTCCATTTTACCCTCACAACAACCACCCTGTGGGGTAGGTTAGGCTGAGAGAGTCTGACTGACCAAAGGTCACCCAGTAGGCTTCCATGGCACAAGTGGGAATTCAAACATGGGTCTCCCCGTTTCTAGTCCAACTGTCTAACCACTATACAATGCTAAGTTATATGATGGGCTGGATACAGATCAAATTTTCCATCTGCCTAACAAAAATCCCTCCCTCCCTCTCCCCCTGCAGTTCACTGAGGACAAGGGTCTGTAAGGAATGACCTGAGGGGTTTTTACAGTGGGAAAGGTGGAATTGGTGAAAACCAGCAAATTAATCAGGAATCAGCCCAATGGAAATATGCTTATTGTTATGTATTGAGCCTAAGCCTTTTCTCTAGCTGTACCTAGAATGGGCTGAGCTTGCTTCTCTAGAACAATAGCTCGCCTGGATCCAGGAACTAACCAATAAATAAGCAGTGTAATGTAAATAGCCTATCACTGGGAGAGGGTGTGTGTTGGGTGTGGTGTTTTGCATGCTTATAAGCAGGGCTCCAGCCCTGCTAGCTTGTCTTGTAGTTTGCTGAAATCACTTATTAAACCAGAGCTGATCACTGCAATGCGTCTAGAACCCAGTATTTAATACTTATTTTTAAGTGCTTATTTTTAAGTGCTTTCAATCCTTTAATTCTGCTCAGGAAAGGACTACAGTCTAAGCCTCTTGCACCTTATCTGAGGTTAAAAAAAGCCCTCACCCCTGCAATGCCCCTGCAGTCCATTCTTTTCTTCCATGTAAATGAATAGTTGCCATTCATTCTGGGTGCTATTGGTGGTGGAGGAAACACTGCACTTTGGGACAATGTTATGGTAAAGACCACACTTGCCCTGAAACTTGGTGTCAACAATCCCACAACAGGATGAAGAGACACAATGCATCCTCAGAAATACTTGGAATATAGCTCACTCTAGGCACCTCTCCCAGTGAGGATGCTTATGAACTTCAGAAGTTGAGGTGCACCCTAGTTGGAGTGCTCATGACCACTGACAAAACACTGACAGAAAGCAGTTTGATTATACATCAGAGATTACTTTTTGTCTATCAACATATTAAAAATAAATGTGTATACAATTGCGCAATTTTAAAGCATTAATTTTCTAAATTTATTTTGACACCTACACACCCGAAACAAGTGCCCACTAACTGCCAGTGTATGTAAACCATTTTTTTTGGCCCCCCGAAGGGGATTTTTTAAATTGCATTTTATATAAGGACTACAAACTACAATGAAAATAGGGGAGGGGAACTACATTTAAGGAGAAAGAAAAGATAACCACTACTAACTAAAAACCCAAGAGAGGAGATAATCAAATTAGCTTGTACACAATGCCATCCCTTAAAATGCTAACAATTTTATAAACTTAGTCAGATATGCTAATATAACTTTTAAATCTTAAATTTAGCTGTTGGAAAAAGACCCCTAAGCATCTCAATATTAACAACAATATTTTCAAAAGCACAATTCAGAGTCCTTCAGCCGTCATTTTTTCTTATCATGTCTTTTCCGCAGTTTATAAGGAATTTTAGGAGCTGCTGCCCCTTTCTCAGACAGAGAGTCCTCTCCAGAAGACCCGAGTCCAGCTCACCACTGGACTTACTGTCATTTTCCTCTTTATCCACCTCCCCTGGCTCACCCAACTGGACTCTCAGAAAGTCCCGTGCTTTGGAAAAAGAGTCAATCTTTTCTTTTTTGTCCTGAAGTTTGAAGGTTACGTCCTCTGGATATAACCACCAGTAGCTAATTGCATTTGTTTGAAGAAAAAGAACCAAATCTTTATATTTCTTTCTCCTTTGTCTTATTTCAAATGGGATATCTTTCAGAATCCCGATGGTACTATCCCCGATTTTCAAGGGTGTCCCTGCCGTCGCTCTCAGGATACAATCCCTCACGTGTCTCTTCGAGAATCTCATTACTATTTCCCCAGGCAGATTATTCTTCTTTA